TCTGTGACTGTTGCTTCTCTGTGGTTGCAGCTACTCTGTCAGTTGATGCTCTGTGGCTGCTGCTGCCCTATGGCTACTGCTGCTCTGAGGCTGCTGCTTTTCTGTGGCTGGTGCTCTGAAAGCAGCAACAGCAACCACAGAGCAGCAGCAGCCACAGAGCAGCAGCAGCAGCCATAGAGCTACTGCTCTGTGGCGGCTGCCTCTTTGTGGCTACTGCTCTTTGGCTGCTGCTGTTCTGTGGATACTGTTGCTCTGTGGCTGCTGTTCTGAGGCTGCTCTTTGGCTGTTGTGTTGATAGCAGCAACAGCAACCACAGAGCAGCAGCTGCCACAGAGCAGCAGCAGCCAGAGCAATAGTCACAGAACAGCAACAGCCACAGAGTAGGAATAGCCACAGTGCAGCAGCAGCAGCAGCAGCAGCAGCTCTATGGCTGCTGCTGCGGCTTCTGGAGCTGCTGTTCTGTGGCTTATTCTGCTCTGTGGCTGCTTCTGCTTGCTCTGTGCCTGCTGATGCTATGTGACTGCTGCTCTGTGACTGCTGCTTTAAGGCTGCTGCTGTTCTGTGGCTGCTGCTCTGTGGCTGTTGCTCTGAAAGCAGCAACAGCAGCCCCAAAGCAGCAGGATGTTATCTTGAGATGATTTCAGGGCTTTCGTGTCCCCGCGGCCCGGTCCTCGACCAGGCCTCCACCCCCAGGAAGCAGCCCGTGACAGCTGACTAACTCCCAGGTACCTATTTTACTGCTAGGTAACAGGGGCATAGGGTGAAAGAAACTGCCCATTGTTTCTCGCCGGCGCCCGGGATCGAACCCGGGACGCCGGGTTCGATCAGCGGACAGCAGGCGGGATCACAAGTCCAGTGTGCTGTCCGCTCGGCCGGCCGGCTCCCAAAGGAGCCACAGAACAGCAGCAGCTACAGAGAAGTAGTAGCCACAGAGCAGTAGTAGCCACAGAGCAGCAGCAGCGACAGAGGAACAGCAGCCCTAGAGCAGCTGTAGACACAGAGCAGTAGTACCCACAGAGCAGCAGCAGCCCCAGAGCAACAGCAGCCACAGAGCAGCAGCAGTCAGAGAAACAGCCCCAGAGCAGCAACAGCCACAGAGCAGCAGCAGCCACAAAACAGCAACAGCCACAGAGCAGCAGCCATAGAGCACCAGCAACCGTAGAGCAGCAACAACAGTCACAGAACTGCAGCAGCAACCTCTGTGGCTTCTGCTCTGTGGCTGTTGGTGATCTGTGACTGTTGCGCTCTGTTGCTGTTGGTACTGCTCTATGGATGCTGCTATTCTGTGACTGCTGCTGCTGCTCTGTGGCTGGTGCTCTATGGCTGCTGCTGCTCTGTGGCTGCTGCTGATCTGTGGATTTTACTTTGTGGGTGCTGCTCTGTGGCTGTTTCTGCTGTGGCTGTTGCTGCTGTGGCACAGCAGCAACAGCACAGTGCAGCAGCAGCCACAGTGCAGCAGTCATAGAGCAACAGCAACAGAGCAGCCGCCACAGAGCAACAGCAACCACTGAGCAGCAACAGCCACAGAGCAATATCAACAGATCAGAAGCTTCAGAGCAGCAGCCACGTAGCAACAGCCACAGAGCAGGAGCAGCCACAAAGCAGCAGCCACGTAGCAACAGCCACAGAGCAGGAGCAGCCACAAAGCAGCAAGAACCACAGAGCAGCAGCAGCCCCAGAGCAGCAGCAGTCACAGAGCAGTAGCAGTCACAGAGCAGTAGCAGCCACAGAGCAGCAGCAGCCACAGAGCAGCAGCAACAAAGCAGCAGCCACAAAGCAGGAGCCACAGAGCAGTAGCAGCCACTGGGGAACAACCACAGAGCAGCAGAAGCAGCCACAGAGCAGTAGCAGCAGCCACAGAGCAGCAAAAGCCACAGAAACGCAGCAGCCATAGAGCAACAGCTACAGAGCAGCAACAGTCACAGAGCAACAGCAGAGAGCAACAGCCAAAGAGCAGCAGCCACAGAGCAACAGCAGCCACAGAGCAACAACAGCCACAGAGCAGCAACAGCCACAGAGCAGCAACAGCCACAGAGCAGCAACAGCCACAGAGCAACAGCAGCCACAGAGCAGCAGCATTCAGAGCAGTAGCAGTCAGAGCAACAGCCCCAGAGCAGCAACAGCCAGAGCCACAGCAGCCACAGAGCAGCAGCAATCAGTGCAACAGCAACAGAGCAACAGCAGCCACAGAGCAGCAACGGCCACACAGCAACAGCAGCCACAGAGCAACACCCACAGAGCAGCAACAGCCATAGAGCAGCAACAGCCACAGAGCAGCAGCCCCAGAGCAGCAGCTGTCACAGAGCAGCAGCAGCCACAAAACAGCAACAGCCACAGAGCAGCAGCAGCAGCAGCCATAGAGCAGCAGCAACAGTCACATTAGCAGCAGCAGCCACAGAGCAGCAACCTCGGTGGCTTCTGCTGCTCTGTGGCTGTTGGTGATCTGTGACTGTTGCGCTCTGTTGCTGTTGGTACTGCTCTGTGGCTGCTGCTATTCTGTGACTGCTGCTGCTGCTCTGTGGCTGGTGCTCTATGGCTGCTGCTGCTCTGTGGCTGCTGCTGATCTGTGAATTTTGCTTTGTGGGTGCTGCTCTGTGGCTGTTTCTGCTGTGGCTGTTGCTGCTGTGGCACAGCAGCAGCAGCACAGTGCAGCAGCAGCCACAGTGCAGCAGTCATAGAGCAACAGCAACAGAGCAGCCGCCACAGAGGAACAGCAACCACTGAGCAGCAACAGCCACAGAGCAATAGCAACAGATCAGAAGCCACAGAGCAGCAGCCACAGAGCAGCAGCCACGTAGCAACAGCCACAGAGCAGGAGCAGCCACAAAGCAGCAAGAACCACAGAGCAGCAGCAGCCCCAGAGCAGCAGCAGTCAGAGCAGAAGCAGCCACAGAGCAGCAGCAGACACAGAGCAACAGCCTCAGAGCAGCAGCAGCCACAGAGCAGCAGCAACAAAGCAGCAGCCACAAAGCAGGAGCCACAGAGCAGTAGCAGCCACTGGGGAACAACCACAGAGCAGCAGAAGCAGCCACAGAGCAGTAGCAGCAGCCACAGAGCAGCAAAAGCCACAGAAACGCAGCAGCCATAGAGCAACAGCTACAGAGCAGCAACAGTCACAGAGCAACAGCAGAGAGCAACAGCCAAAGAGCAGCAGCCACAGAGCAACAGCAGCCACAGAGCAACAACAGCCACAGAGCAGCAACAGCCACAGAGCAGCAACAGCCACAGAGCAGCAACAGCCACAGAGCAACAGCAGCCACAGAGCAGCAGCATTCAGAGCAGTAGCAGTCAGAGCAACAGCCCCAGAGCAGCAACAGCCAGAGCCACAGCAGCCACAGAGCAGCAGCAATCAGTGCAACAGCAACAGAGCAACAGCAGCCACAGAGCAGCTACGGCCACACAGCATCAGCAGCCACAGAGCAACACCCACAGAGCAGCAACAGCCATAGAGCAGCAACAGCCACAGAGCAGCAGCCCCAGAGCAGCAGCTGTCACAGAGCAGCAGCAGCCACAAAACAGCAACAGCCACAGAGCAGCAGCAGCAGCAGCCATAGAGCAGCAGCAACAGTCACATTAGCAGCAGCAGCCACAGAGCAGCAACCTCTGTGGCTTCTGCTGCTCTGTGGCTGTTGGTGATCTGTGACTGTTGCGCTCTGTTGCTGTTGGTACTGCTCTGTGGCTGCTGCTATTCTGTGACTGCTGCTGCTGCTCTGTGGCTGGTGCTCTATGGCTGCTGCTGCTCTGTGGCTGCTGCTGATCTGTGAATTTTGCTTTGTGGGTGCTGCTCTGTGGCTGTTTCTGCTGTGGCTGTTGCTGCTGTGGCACAGCAGCAGCAGCACAGTGCAGCAGCAGCCACAGTGCAGCAGTCATAGAGCAACAGCAACAGAGCAGCCGCCACAGAGGAACAGCAACCACTGAGCAGCAACAGCCACAGAGCAATAGCAACAGATCAGAAGCCACAGAGCAGCAGCCACAGAGCAGCAGCCACGTAGCAACAGCCACAGAGCAGGAGCAGCCACAAAGCAGCAAGAACCACAGAGCAGCAGCAGCCCCAGAGCAGCAGCAGTCAGAGCAGAAGCAGCCACAGAGCAGCAGCAGACACAGAGCAACAGCCTCAGAGCAGCATCAGCCACAGAGCAGTAGCAACCACAGATCAGCAGCAGTTGCAGAGCAGCAGCCACACAATAGCAGCAGTCATAGAGCAGTAGGAGCTACAGAGCAGCAGCGTCAGAGCAGCAACAGCCTCAGAGCAGCAGCAGCCACAGAGAAGCAACAACCACAGATCAGCAGCAGTTGCAGAGCAGCAGCCACAGAGCAGCAGCCACAGAGTAACAGCCACAGAGCAGTCGCAGCCAGAGTAGCAGCAGCCACAGAGCAGCAGCCACGGACCAACAGTCACAGAGCAGCAGCAGTCACAGAGCAGCAGCAGCCACAGAGCAGCAGCAGCAACAGAGAAGCAGCCACAGACCAACATTCACAGAGCAGCAGCAGTCACAGAGCAGTAGCAGCCACAGAGCAGCAGCAGCCACAGAGCAGCAGCAGCCACAGAGCAGCAGCAGCCACAGAGCAGCAGCAGCACAGAGCGTGGCGTGCCTGACACAGGTACAGGTGTACCTTACCTTACAGTGCCCACAGGGAGTGAGGTTTAGCTCTTGGTTCCCCGCCTACTGGTGGCACCCACTGCGTGTTATTCTACAGGACCTGGTGTTAAGAGTCCGCGTGGGTAACACTGTCTCACACCAATACTGGAAGTAAACGTTCCGGCCGTCTCTCTCACGTAATACCTCGTATTTTGGACGAAATTGACCAATCCATTAAGCTGCGGTGTATTAGTATGAATAAACCACCGTAATAGTGACGTTTTGAAATTGGATGATTCTGGAAACTTTCCTTATTAAGACTACTCATAGCGCAGTCAACGGAGCCTCGGCCTCACACGCATGCGGTCGAGTGTTCGAGTCTGCTACAGCCCAGGTGACTGGAAAAGAAGTTATACTTACATGCGGCCTCATCCAGACGATGGGTCCCAAGTGAGGCTTCTTGTGGATGAAGAGAGACCTGACGGTAGTGGAGAACTGGGCGTCCTCGTAGAGCTGTCCGCGCTCTCTTAGGTTCCTCTTGATGTGGGTGTAGCTCCCGCCTCCTCCACTAGTGTCTCTCTTCCTGGCCTGACCTCGGTCGATAGTCCAGTACCTGAGGGAGACCAACACTGTCTTAGTCCTGGGTCACTGTCAGGTAGTGTGGGGGTGGCAGACATGTTGCTGTGGGGGTGGGGGAGAGGTTACTACATGGTGAAGGTCAGGCACAACATCACCAACATATGTTGAGGCAACACTAATACACCAATAGAAGAGTGAACATGCTTGTACCGCCAACATCTGTCTAACACCACAACACCTGCTTTCTCTCACCTCCAAGACTGAAACCATCCGTGGGAAACACCTTCCATCTGTTACAGCTCACGCCATCTCTCTCTCTCTCTCTCTCTCTCTCTCTCTCTCTCTCTCTCTCTCTCTCTCTCTCTCTCTCTCTCTCTCTCTCTCTCTCTCTCTCTCTCTCACACACACACACACACACACACACACACACACACACACACACACACACACACACACACACACACACACACACACACTCACACACTCACACACACACACACACACACACACACACACACACACACACACACACACACACACACACACACACACACTCACACACACACACACCCCTGCAAAATACTTGAAAGAATAATTAGGCTAAGACTTGTTGAGCACCTGGAGAGCATTGGGTTTGTAAACAAGCACCAACATGGGTTCTGGACAGGGAAATCATGCCTAACAAACCTTTTAGAATTCTATGATAAAGTAACAAGGATAAGGCAGGACAGAGAAGGCTGGGCAGACTGCATATTTCTTGACTGCCAAAAGGCCTTTGATACGGTACCGCACATGAGACTGCTATACAAACTTGAGAGGCAGGCAGGAGTAAGCGGAAAGGCCCTAGTATGGGTGAAGAACTACCTATCAGGAAGGAGCCAGAGGGTAATGGTAAGGGGCGAAAAGTCGGACTGGCGAACAGTAACAAGTGGAGTACCTCAAGGATCGGTGCTGGGACCAATCCTCTTTCTAATTTACGTAAATGATATGTTTACAGGAGTGGAATCATACATGTCAATGTTTGCAGATGACGCAAAATTAATGAGAAGAGTTGTGACAGACGAGGATTGTAGGATCCTCCAAGAGGACTTAAACAGGCTGCAGAGATGGTCAGAGAAATGGCTACTGGAGTTTAACACCAGTAAATGTAAAGTTATGGAAATGGGATCAGGTGACAGGAGACCAAAGGGACAGTACACAATGAAGGGGAACAGCCTACCTGTAACGATTCGAGAAAGAGACCTGGGAGTGGATGTGACACCTAATCTAACTCCTGAGGCACATATAAATAGGATAACGACAGCAGCGTACTCTACACTGGCGAAAATTAGAACTTCATTCAGAAACCTAAATGAGGAAGCTTTTAGGGCGCTTTACACTGCCTACGTGAGACCCGTCTTAGAGTATGCCGCGCCATCATGGAGCCCCCACCTAAAGAAACACATAAAGAAACTGGAGAAGGTTCAGAGGTTTGCGACGAGGCTTGTCCCAGAGTTACGAGGGATGGGATATGAAGAGCGGCTGAAGGAACTGAACCTAACGACACTAGAGAAAAGAAGGGAGAGAGGAGATATGATAGGGACATATAAAATACTCGGGAATTGATAAAGTGGAAATAGATGAAATGTTCACACGTAATAATAACAGAACGAGGGGACATGGGTGGAAACTGGAAACTCAGATGAGTCACAGAGATGTTAGGAAGTTTTCTTTTAGCGTGAGAGTAGTGGAAAAATGGAATGCACTTGGGGAACAGGTTGTGGAAGCAAATACTATTCATACTTTTAAAACTAGGTATGATAGGGAAATGGGACAGGAGTCATTGCTGTAAACAACCGATAGCTAGAAAGGCGGGATCCAAGAGTCAATGCTCGATCCTGCAAGCACATATAGGTGAGTACACATAGGTGAGTACACACACACACACACACACACACACACACACACACACACACACACACACACACACACACACACACACACACACACACACACACACACACACACACACACACACACACACACACACACACACACACTCACACACACACACACACACACACACACACACACACACACACACACACACACACACACACACACTCACACACACACACACACACACACACTCACACACACACACACACTCACACACACACACACACACACTCACACACACACACACACACACACACACACACACACACACACACACACACACACACACTCACACACACACACACACACACACACACACACACACACACACACACACACACACACACACACACACACACACACACACACAGCCTGGAGCACAAAATACCGTACTCAAGGTACGCCACAATGTGGAAATAAATTTACCTGTTGAAAACTGTGGGAGTTAATTATGGCCAGTAGTGGCAGCGTTCCCTAACCGGCTCCCTTGTGGCCCTGGGGGAGGACTGGCCAGTGGTGTGTGGCCCTGGGGGAGGACTGACCAGTGATGTGTGGCCCTGGGGGAGGACTGGCCAGTGGTGTGTGGCCCTGGGGGAGGACTGGCCAGTGGTGTGTGGCCCTGGGGGAGGACTGACCAGTGATGTGTGGCCCTGGGGGAGGACTGGCCAGTGGTGTGTGGCCCTGGCCAGTGGTGTGTGGCCCTGGGGGAGGACTGGCCAGTGGTGTGTGGCCCTGGGGGAGGGACTGGTCAGTGGTGTGTGGCCCTGGGGGAGGGACTGGCCAGTGGTGTGTGGCCCTGGGGGAGGACTGGCCAGTGGTGTGTGGCCCTGGGGGAGGACTGGCCAGTGGTGTGTGGCCCTGGGGGAGGACTGGCCAGTGGTGTGTGGCCCTGGGGGAGGGACTGGCCAGTGGTGTGTGGCCCTGGGGGAGGACTGGCCAGTGGTGTGTGGCCCTGGGGGAGGGACTGGCCAGTGGTGTGTGGCCCTGGGGGAGGACTGGCCAGTGGTGTGTGGCCCTGGGGGAGGGACTGGCCAGTGGTGTGTGGCCCTGGGGGAGGACTGGCCAGTGGTGTGTGGCCCTGGGGGAGGACTGGCCAGTGGTGTGTGGCCCTGGGGGAGGACCAGTGGTGTGTGGCCCTGGGGGAGGACTGGCCAGTGGTGTGTGGCCCTGGGGGAGGACTGGCCAGTGGTGTGTGGCCCTGGGGGAGGACTGGCCAGTGGTGTGTGGCCCTGGGGGAGGACTGGAGTGGTGTGTGGCCCTGGGGGAGGACCAGTGGTGTGTGGCCCTGGGGGAGGACTGGCCAGTGGTGTGTGGCCCTGGGGGAGGACTGGCCAGTGGTGTGTGGCCCTGGGGGAGGACTGGCCAGTGGTGTGTGGCCCTGGGGGAGGACTGGCCAGGCCAGTGGTGGTGTGGCCCTGGGGGAGGACTGGCCCTGGCCAGTGGTGTGTGGCCTGGGGGAGAGTGGTGTGTGGCCCTGGGGGAGGACTGGCCAGTGGTGTGTGGCCCTGGGGGAGGACTGGCCAGTGGTGTGTGGCCCTGGGGGAGGACTGGCCAGTGGTGTGTGGCCCTGGGGGAGGACTGGCCAGTGGTGTGTGGCCAGTGGTGTGTGTGCCCTGGGGAGGGACTGGCCAGTGGTGTGTGGCCCTGGGGGAGGACTGGCCAGTGGTGTGTGGCCCTGGGGGAGGACTGGCCAGTGGTGTGTGGCCTGGCCAGTGGTGTGTGGCCCTGGGGGAGGACTGGCCAGTGGTGTGTGGCCCTGGGGGAGGACTGGCCAGTGGTGTGTGGCCCTGGGGGAGGACTGGCCAGTGGTGTGTGGCCCTGGGGGAGGACTGGCCAGTGGTGTGTGGCCCTGGGGGAGGACTGGCCAGTGGTGTGTGGCCCTGGGGGAGGACTGGCCAGTGGTGTGTGGCCCTGGGGGGAGGACTGGCCAGTGGTGTGTGGCCCTGGGGGAGGACTGGCCAGTGGTGTGTGGCCCTGGGGGAGGACTGGCCAGTGGTGTGTGGCCCTGGGGGAGGACTGGCCAGTGGTGTGTGGCCCTGGGGGAGGACTGGCCAGTGGTGTGTGGCCCTGGGGGAGGGCCAGTGGTGTGTGGCCCTGGGGGAGGACTGGCCAGTGGTGTGTGGCCCTGGGGGAGGACTGGCAAGTGGTGTGTGGCCCTGGGGGAGGGACTGGCCAGTGGTGTGTGGCCCTGGGGGAGGACTGGCCAGTGGTGTGTGGCCCTGGGGGAGGACTGGCCAGTGGTGTGTGGCCCTGGGGGAGGACTGGCCAGTGGTGTGTGGCCCTGGGGGAGGGACTGGCCAGTGGTGTGTGGCCCTGGGGGAGGACTGGCCAGTGGTGTGTGGCCCTGGGGGAGGACTGGCCAGTGGTGTGTGGCCCTGGGGGAGGACTGGCCAGTGGTGTGTGGCCCTGGGGGAGGACTGGCCAGTGGTGTGTGGCCCTGGGGGGAGGACTGGCAAGTGGTGTGTGGCCCTGGGGGAGGACTGGCCAGTGGTGTGTGGCCCTGGGGGAGGACTGGCCAGTGGTGTGTGGCCCTGGGGGAGGACTGGCCAGTGGTGTGTGGCCCTGGGGGAGGAGGACTGGCCAGTGGTGGTGTGTGGCCCTGGGGGAGGACTGGCCAGTGGTGTGTGGCCCTGGGGGAGGACTGGCCAGTGGTGTGTGGCCCTGGGGGAGGACTGGCCAGTGGTGTGTGGCCCTGGGGGAGGACTGGCCAGTGGTGTGTGGCCCTGGGGGAGGACTGGCCAGTGGTGTGTGGCCCTGGGGGAGGACTGGCCAGTGGTGTGTGGCCCTGGGGGAGGGACTGGCCAGTGGTGTGTGGCCCTGGGGGAGGACTGGCCAGTGGTGTGTGGCCCTGGGGGAGGACTGGCCAGTGGTGTGTGGCCCTGGGGGAGGACTGGCCAGTGGTGTGTGGCCCTGGGGGAGGGACTGGCCAGTGGTGTGTGGCCCTGGGGGAGGACTGGTCAGTGGTGTGTGGCCCTGGGGGAGGGACTGGTCAGTGGTGTGTGGCCCTGGGGGAGGGACTGGCCAGTGGTGTGTGGCCCTGGGGGAGGACTGGCCAGTGGTGTGTGGCCCTGGGGGAGGGACTGGTCAGTGGTGTGT